AATGAGCCACAATATTTTTTTTTTAATTATTATTAACCAAACTTAAATTTAACTTATCTCGTTTAAAAACTAAATAAATTGAATTTCAGCTCAAATGTAGTTAAGGAGACGAATTCCAACCGGTAGAATTTAAAACTTGAATTGATTTTTGAATTTCTTATAATGGTTGGCCATAAAATATGCACATAACATGTTTTTATATTGGACCACATGGAGTAGGTTCATATTATTCTCGTTAAATAGTCAATATTTATACGTTTTGGTGGTAATATAGATTCTCTAAAAGCCAAACTCCCTTTCATTTTTTTAACAAAATAAATTGTATTAGTAAGAAAAAAGACAAAACATATAGATTCATTTGAAGAAAAAAAAAATTTCGCATTGATCTTCTAGTTAGATTTTAGCTAATTAAGAAACATTGGATACAATCTCTTAAAAAGATTTTCCTCTATTCCCTTATATTTGTATGTCTTTGGCTTAATTTTGACTTTTTTTTCAATTGTAATCAATTTTACATTTTGAGTTTGAAATTTAGGGTAAAAAAAATAGTCAAGGATTGTTATTATATTTTGGTAAACAACAAATAGTAAAGGCCTTGGAATTATATGCAAAAAAAATAAAAAATAAAAAAAAAGCTTAAAGTTGGGATCTTAGCAAGTTTTGTCACATTTACAATTCTAATCAAGATATTCTCCCGCAGGGATGAAATGCGTGGAGCTTATATCTATATATTTATTAATTGGAATGTTCGATGGGTCGAAATAACACTGCAGATTGTAAAACGGGGGTAGTCTTTTTCTGAATTCACCAAATTGATGAAAATATTTATAGTCGAAAGGACGCGAACTCAAAACTTCTCGCACTTTATATGAGTGAAAATATCAACTAATAGCAAGCTTATAATCTATACCTGGAAAGGATTTGCTTGCATATAAAATTACTTTATGAAAAAAGCAGGCATTGTATAAAGAAATGTTGCAGCAGGCAGCAGGGTGAGTCACCCAATGTTATTACTCATACATGTTTAATTGCATGGATTTTGCAAGTTAAATTGCATGAATATGGCCAGCTTTTTTATGGAGGAAGCACAAAGAAACAAAAATTATTTTTATGGCCAGATTTTGCAAGGAGTATTATTTGTCCATTTTGAAAAATTTTTATAATTAAAATATGTGAAAATTATTTTTTAAAAAAATTATTAACTTTTAATTACTACTAGTCATCTTCTTTCATCCCGTATGCAGATATTATATAATATTTATAAATGCAAATTGCTATTATTATTATTATGTTAATTAATAATTTCAAGAATCCAAATATCTAATAATATATTATATTTAATAATGTCCATAAAAAATAATTTTTTCTTGATATTCATAAAGGATCAAAGTTTGCGTTGATTTAGAATAGGGTAAGAAGCACCGCCCTCTCCCTCTATAAAACAAAATACAAACTCAATTCTATCATAGAACATATCCCAATTAATGATATTGATTCAAATTTTCTATCAATTATATTAAAAATAATTTTTGAAATATAAAAATTATTTTCAACCAATAAAATAATATTTTAATATTATGCCACGTGAATATGTTAATATCCTAACATTGTGCCACATTTCTTTTTATATTTTGAGTTTTTAAATATTTGTATAGATTATTAATATAATAGTTTTAATAATAATTACAATAATCACAATTACACCTTAAATATTCCTTTTTCTTAATATTAGAGCTCTGTTCGACAGCAAAATATTTGAAATAGTGTTTAGTATTTTGATAGGACTATTAAGTTTGAGATAACGTTAGTAGTGTTTAGTGTTTTGATAGGGTTGAAACACTATCTTAATTAATTATAACAGACCTAAGGAGCGTTTTATAATTTCTTTATGACATTTATACTCATCACTTATTTTTATTTTGTTCCTTACTTTCATATTTTTTTTGTCATTTTATATTAAACAGCTAATCGAAGAGTTATTTGCATCGAACACTTTTATTCTAAACCCTTATATAATCGTTAACCACTATCATGACAGAGGTGCACCTTCGTCTCAGTTTCCAAATTCCCCATGTTCCTAATGACTTTGTTTTACAGTTTAAATTTAAAAAATAATATAAACCTCTTTGACAGTCAGTCGATCACATGTTGCAAGAACTAATTTAATTTTAATGTTAGTTAGTTGTTCACCATTTCCATTTCCCACATAATTGGAGAGAAGTTGGAATTTTTTTGTTAATTAATATGTATCCTTACAAGAGAACACAAGAATTACTTAAATGTAGTTCACCGGAAAACATCACAATTTCATTGATTTTTTGTTTATGTAACCTCTTATTGCTCTTTCATTTTTAATCAATTTTGAGTTTTTCAATTTTCTTTACCCATTATAGGGTAATTTTTATAGATATACAAACATGAGCCAAGTTAGAAATTTAAATTGGAGCCGATAAATATTTAACTATTCAAAGAAACCTAAAACTTAAACAATAAGAATAAAACTCAATTTGCTCTATAAACTTGAGAGCAATATTCAGTTTGCCTTAAAATTAATTTTTTATACAATTTACCCCTAAACTTGCAACAAAAAAATAAAAAACTCAATTTATTACTCAAAAATTTTAATTTAAATCAAATATAATTAAAGAATAACAAGATATTTTATTTAGATAAAATACAATTAAGAAATAATTAAACAAAAAAAATGATAAACTTTTTTTAACCAAATATTCATATAAATCAAATATTTTGTTTAGTTATTTTTGAAATCAAAGATAAGACACTATAATTTTTTATAATTATAGTTATGTTTTTTAATAATTTTTCTTCTTAATTTTAAACTTTTTAAATAATTTTTATTAGTTAAAAATAATGAAACATTTTTTCAATGAAAATTTGGGTGTTTTATTCTTTTAATACAAGTTGAGAGGGTAAATTATATAAAAAAATTAATTTTTGAGCAAATTGAATATTATTCTCAAATTCAATATTGAGCGAGGCAAATTAAGCTATATTCATAAACAATGAAATTGGGAAGGGAAAGTTTCGAATATAGAGCTCTAAAAATATGTAGGTCTTGAGTTCCAACCTAAAATTAATTGCTTTCGAAATTTTTTCTTTTAAAGAAGGGAGGGGCACATTGCTCACCCTCCTTTCAGTATGGCTTGGCCAGCGTATACAAACACAACTAGTTTATGACTTCCAAACTTTATTTATGATAAAAAAAAGAAAAGAAACATTTTAATGGAGAGACCAAGCAAGGGAAAATGAGATGAAAACTAATTTTTTAGGTAATGGAAACCAAGGTGATTCAAATCAGCAGAGGTCATATAAATTATTGATCTTGCAAAATTGCTAGCTGTAAATACTAGATAGAAAGAGAGATATAGGATACAACTAGAAACAGTGGAGGTTTTTTTGGCGGAGGAAACCAAGGGAGGAGGAGAACCCAAGGTGATTCAAAGTCAGCAGAGCCGGTCATATAAATATTGATCTTGCAAAATGCTAGCTGTAAATACTAGTAGAAAGAAAGATATAGGATACAACTAGAAACAGTGAGGTTTTTTGGCGGAGGGAAAACAGGGAGGAGGAGGAGGAGGAGGAGGAGGAGGAGGGAGGAGGAGGGAGGCTTTCAACGTAAATAAGGAGGAGGAGGAGGAGGAGGAGGAGGAGGAGGAGGCTTTTCAACTAAATATAAAATTTTACATTATAAATTAGAAGTATGTTAAAAGGTGGAGCTAAAACAAGAGTAATTTTATCTAAATAAATGTATTTGTCACTAATAATGTTACCTTTCGCAATAACTCTATTAAAAAATATACATATTTTTATTTAGGTTTCAATTTAGATTTTTAACTTACAATTTCACAAGTCTAAATATGATTCCAGGTAATTTAAATTTTTTGGATTCCTACTATCTATTTTCTATTGGATTCCGTAGCAGAGGCACAAGTATTCTACTCGTGTTTATTCATTTAAATTCATATTGTAAAAATGTTAATATGAAAACTTTGATTTTGGAATTAATAATAAATTATTAATGAATTCAAATATAAACAATGAACAGGTATTTAAATGGATTTTGCAAATATGGAGAGTTCAAAATTTCTGAGTACCTACCCGCTTCTATCTCAAGCTATCAAATGTTAACTAATGTCACATACTTATTTTGTATAGCTAATAAGTCCAGTTGAAATTAAATAATTTACTTGAAATTAAAAGATTTTGAAAGGTGATGTAATATATAGCTTTACAAAATTCTAAATTAAAATTTATTATCAATATAAGATGAGAATAAATTTATTTATAATTAAACATACATTAATCTTTCAATTACACAATTATACAAAATTGATATAAAAATCATTTCTAATTCTTCTTTAAAAACTTACAAATTTATGTTTATGTGATCTTTAATATGGCTAAGTCCATTTTCTTTGAAAGAGAGATGATAAATAAATTTTTAATCATACATCACATATGACAAAATTATATATATATATATATATATATTATATTATATCGTTTTAATTAATGAAATGCAAAATTATTTCCACTGTTCCACATCCATTCCATGGTAACCCCTGGTATATATATATTTGTTTAATTAATGAAATGCAAATTATTCACTGTTCACACCATTCCATGGTACCCCTGAAATTGAATTAATTATTTGTTCAAGAAAAGAAAATGAGCTTTGACCTTGGATTGCATAAGCAACAGTGCAGGGTCCTGTCTTAATGTAACGCATACACAGAACGGCCAAAGAGGAAGAATTAAGCAGAGTCAACAAAAGACCAACAAGAAGAGAGAGAGAGAGAGAGAGACAGAGAAATTAAGAGACAGCCAATATATGAACAGTGAATAATTGAAAGAAGAAAAAGAAAACTAAGAAGGCTAACCATTTTCACACGTGGGAATTCGATAACTTCAGTCCTGCAAGCGCGTACCGTACCGCTATAAAGAGGCTGCAAAAATTCTTCTTTCTTTACTTTAGTTGAGTACTTCGGCCTCCATTGGAAAGTGCAAGAAAGAAACCAATTTCCTTCCTTTCATTCCTTGGAGTCTTCTAATTATTATTTAACTGGTAAGCTTTTCAAGAGTTCACTACTTATCTTGCCCAAATTTAATTTTCTTGAACATGCATTCTTTGCTAACTAACTGGTATTGTCTCAAGATCTATATGCATATAGCTTCCAGTGATTTAGGTTTTTTGTTTTTTTCTCTTTTAGATTCTTGAATCTTTATTTTGTCTCCATTTTCATTTGGGTTCCAAATTATTTTTAGTTTCCTTAGTCTTCATTTGCTCTGTAATTTTATGTTTTTTTTTTCCCCTCAAAGATCTTGAATTCTGATTAATTATCTTTTCTGGATTCAATTTTAATTATGGGTACTTTTCTTGTTTAATCCTTTCAGAATTTGAACTCATCTGGGTCTTTCTTCAAGGAAATAACCAAAGCTAGCTCTAATGGATATTTCATCAACAAAATGGCTACCAGATCAGTTTGTAAGTCCTTTTTTTTTCATTTTTCTTTCCATTTAACTAGTCTCTATCTTTTCTCTTAAAATTGGAGCTCGTAATCTCAGATATTTCTGAAAAAGATTATATTAGGATCTATAGTTTTCTTATCAAGAAATTATAAATCATATATATCTAGACCTAATTAATGAAATTGTTTCTTTTTTTCTTTTTAAGTGAGTTTACATAGTTTATGCTTTGTTTTTGAGACTTTTTTTTTTTCTATATTATCAGGGAATGGAGGATCCAGCTTTTAACTATCCGTACCAAATGAATCCTCTTGATTATGCACTTGATGATCTTGATTTTCAATCCTTTTCTTCAACGAATGACCAAATTTTCAGTCCCCAAACTATACAGAACTTCAATTATACACTACCTATTCAAGAAAATTCTCAAACCAGCATTGAAAGGCCAACAAAACAACTGAAAACCAATAGTTGGAATTCTGGTTCTTGCACTACAACTGATAACAATAATAGTAATAACCAAATCATTTCTTCAAAGGCTTCTCCTTCTTCTTCTTCTCACATTATCTCTTTCGAAAACTTGAATAATTCATCTCCTGCACCCATCTCGCAACAATTCTATGGCTTAGATTCAACTACCAGTACTATAATAAAGCCTAAAAGTGAATTCGTGGGGTCTAATGGAAGTGCAAACCACAATTCTAGTTTTTTCTGTCAAGCTGGGTCAACTTATTATCCACAGGGTAACAAAAAGACTGGTGCAATGAGTAGAACTCTTTCACATGCTCAAGATCATGTCATAGCAGAAAGGAAGCGTCGCGAAAAGCTTAGCCAGCGATTTATAGCTCTTTCAGCCGTTGTCCCAGGTCTTAAAAAGGTACTAACTTCAGATTCTTGCAACTTAATTCTATCCATCAATAATTATGGCTATACACATGCTCAAGATCATGTCATAGCAGAAAGGAAGCGTCGCGAAAAGCTTAGCCAGCGATTTATAGCTCTTTCAGCCGTTGTCCCAGGTCTTAAAAAGGTACTAACTTCAGATTCTTGCAACTTAATTCTATCCATCAATAATTATGGCTATACATATATAAAGTAACTCAAAAGATTATTAAAATTAATCTTATGTAAAAGAAAATAGCAGCAGATTCTTAAAATATTGCACTAACTTCTATATATATTTTGTAATGTTGATTTATAGATGGATAAGGCATCTGTTCTTGGCGATGCAATAAAGTACCTGAAGCAATTACAAGAACGTGTAAAGACACTTGAAGAACAATCTGCCAGGAAAAATATGGAATCAGTAGTTTTCGTAAAGAAATGTCAAGTGTATGCCGATGATGAGTCTTCCTCGACCGATGAGAACTGTGATAGCTGCAGCGACCAACCGTTACCAGAAATCGAGGCAAGAGTTTCAGAAAAGGATGTTCTTATTAGAATCCATTGTGAAAAGCAGAAAGGATACCTACTGAAAATATTTAGTGAAGTAGAAAAGCTTCATCTAAATGTTATCAACAGCAGTGTCTTGCCTTTTGGAAACTCCACTCTTGATATAACTGTTATTGCTCAGGTAATATAGCATGTTTATATATATATATATATATATATGTAATTTATGAGCATGTTTATTATATATTATACTATTATATTACACATGCGTATATATTATATATAATTACACTGATTACACTGCCAATTAATATCATAATTGAATGATAATATATACTATATATAAGAACATTTTGGAAATTTTATTGAAACATATATTGTATTTTTGATAACTTATTGCAGATGGACAGTGATTTCTCCATGACAATGAAGGATGTTGTGAGAAACCTAAGACAAGCTCTACTCAAGTACATGTGATGTAATAAAAACGTGCAACTGCAAGAACAAGAAAAAGAAGATCTTATGCATAATAAACTTCTATATTAGTTAACTTAATTTCCTCACTTGTTTCCTAAACCTCCTGTTAGAAAGAAAACAATGGCCAGTGAATAATCTCTCTCTCTCTCCCTCTGTTGATATTGCTTAGAGGTTTCCATTTTTGCAGGAAGGGTTTTTTTTTTAAAAGCTCTTGTTTTGTTTTTTTGCGTGGTTGACTCGTTGACCATGTTTAATTACCCACGTGCTGAATATGGGACCTAGAGGCTGCAGCTTTTTTGAGGGGGTGAATTTTTTCTTTTTTTCTTTTTTTTTTTTTTGGAAAGGTTACCTTTTAAATAGAAAAAAAAAAAATGTAATAGAGAGCTCTCGATTTCCTTTCCCTTTTACTAGTGTTTTATCTTTGTAAATTAAGATGGAGAGAGACGAAAACTGGTTTTTTTTAGTCATATTTTTATTTTCAAGAGGTTTGGTTTGTAATTTCCCATTTATTAGTGTTTATTTTATTGTTTAGGGTTTGTTTAATCTTCACGTGTATTTGTAGTTATGATTCAATAATATAATATTACATTCTTGATTAATTCCTCTATTGGTTCAACTTTTCAGCTGCACTACCTACCAGGTGGTTCCTTTGTTTTTTCTCTTGTCTTCCTCTTTTGTTATTTTTCATTTACATTAACATTCTATGAACTATTTCAAATTCAATGGACTGGCCCTCAAGTGCCGTAACCTCAGAGAAATCACACAGCCAGGATATATTGGACTTATAAAAAAATAAATCTAATATAATAAATGGAAAAACAAAAATTAATTTACGATAAAAAATCTCACATTTAGACTTTTGGTTTTGGAATATATATAAAAAGCTAGTGGCTATTTTATATAAATTGATTTGGTTGTGCAAATCAACCATTAATTAGTACAATTTACAATTACAATGGATGATTGTTACAGTTGGAGTTGGAGACACATCAAAGGTTCCACTTGAGAATAATCTAAATAAAAACAACGACAAGCTTGTATATAAACGACTTGTAGTCCCCACATGAGATAATAATGGGATCTGCCTTGTTCTTAGACTTTTTGGCACATCCTGTCCAGCTCCATGTGCTTATGCTTATAAGTACCTCTCTCTAACTTTAAAAAATATATTAACACCATCTTAATTAAATGTTTAATTTAATTATCTTTTTTAATTTTAATTAATTATATTCTTTTTAATTAATTATATTCTTTTTTAATTTAAAATACTTACAAAATATTTTAGGGCTCAGACATGTAGTAAGAGTTGATATGTTTTTATAAGTTCTTAAACAGACAAGCTTATCATTATACCATCACAGTATTGATTCAAACAATCCCAATTTTCTTTTTTTTTTTTTTTTTTTTTTTCTATACCATCACAAGTATTCGCATTCAAACAATCCCAATTTTCTTTTTTTTTTTTTCTTTTTCTTTTTTACACATTTGGCGGTAGGTGTTCGTTTTGTTCAATAATAAGGATTGTTAACACATTAAAAGTCCACTCCAATTAAATGACAAATTTGAGAATATAATTAGTTATTAGAGAGTTAAAAATTTTTTTTTTTTTTTTTTTTTAATTTGGGTAGGTGTTGTTTTGTTTCATAATAAGGATTGTTAACACATAAAGTCACTCCAATAATGACAAATTGAGAATATTAATTAGTTTTATAGATAAAAATTTCATTTTTACATCTGAATTAAAATTCAAGAAGATATATAATGGTCATTTCTTTCTTTTTTCTTATTACCCTTCAAAGAAGATCTTTAATTGTCCGTAATTTGGCCGGTAGATGAAAAAATAACAACCCAAGCACCGACCAAAATTGGACGGCATAATTTGAAGGGTACATGGTCAAAAAATTGAGTCTTGTCTGGTCCATTTTTTTCCATACAAGGATTATAGCAATCAACATAATTTGGTCGAATATAAACCCAACACGCTTCAAAATTATTCAATTTTTTGAGGAATTTTGACTTATAACAAGTGTATTTCATGGTCGGTGATCTAATTTTTTCAACTTTTTGAACGTTTGTATAAGAGCAAAATATTAAATTCTTTATACGATGGCAATCTACATGTATAGTTGAGATATGTTTTCTTTGTTTCCCACCTTAATGCATTCAAATAAAGGCCTGTTAGTTCAATCATTTGGTGTTAACGATTATTGATAGTTGGTAGCTCATAACTTTAGCTATCATTGGATAAACGTTGGTTATTATAAAATTTTTTTAATAGCAATTGTTATTACTATAAAAACGACTATTAAGGATATAATTATTTTTATATATTATAGTGAATTTATATATGTTTGAAAGTTAATATATTATTTATTATTTTAATATGTTATATAATAAACTAAAATATTTTAACATTAAAAGAACAATTTAGTAGTAATTATTTTTATAAAGTTAATATATTCTAATTGTAAAATAAATACAAATTAAGTTGTAGCTTAAGGTCCTTCAAAAAAAAAAAAAAGTTGTGGCTTAACGAAAAACTCCAAAATGTAGGTATCATGAAATCCGTAGTTGACTGGAATTCTTAATGAAAAATGTGGGTTTAGTCATGTTAAAATTATTTCAATTTCAAAATAAAATATATTTCAACTAAAATCGAAATAATGACTTGTAAATATGATTCCAAAATTATTTGTTGAAAAATTTTAAAATTGTACAAAGATACATATTACATACATTTAATTATTTAGTGCAATTTTAAGAGAACAAAATGGGTCATAGTCAACTTTTTTGATACGTTATTGTTCTGGGTTTGAAATTAATTCCAATAAGTAAAACTATAAAGATGATCTTACATGGAATGTATTAACCTGTGAAAAAGGACCAACAACGAAATAACATAAAGTAAATTTTGTTTGTTTCCTCTGCTTCAAGACAAGTAGATGAAGCTTAGGCGGTGCCCCATTGCCTTCCTAATAAATGTGAATGTCCAAAAATCATATCTATGTGCAATATCTAGAGGGGAAATTCTTTTTCCTTAATTGTTGACAACTTTCTTAACAACCAAAAGACCATTTTGAAGAAAATTTTATCGTCTGGTCTATCAGAATATTTCCAACTTTGTAAATTTTTGTTAGTTTATTTTATTTTGATTTTATTTTTGTTATTTTTATCCTATTTCGAACTTTTACAGCAATAGCATTTTCAATTGTAATCAATTGATGAACTTGCAAATAAAAAATTATTTCCATCATTTTTTAAATATAATAACTTATTATTGAATAAATTAATTAATAATAAAAATAAAATTTCAAGTTTTCTGTGAATATTAAATTATATTCACATTTTCGGGGTAACATATTTGTAGATTTAAAATTATGATATTTGAAACCGACAACTAAAATAATTAAGAAATTGTTTATTTTTTATTAAGTCAAAAATAGTTTGGCTATATTATCAATCCAGCAAATTATAAGAACTAGGATTTTTTTTTTTTTTTTTAATCCTTAACATACAGATAAGATAATATGAAATAAAATACATAAAATATAATTTAATTTGTACAATATCATTTGGACTAGTGGAATTCTTTTGAAATTTTTATTTTTTGAATTTTATCAGTGTAACATAATGATTTAGAAATGGATTGAAAAATTTTTTATTTGCAATTGTATCATTAACTGCAATTAAGAGTACTATTCTTACAAAAGGTTAAAAAAAGTTATGGTAAAATTGATAAAAATATCAACATAGACTGAAATTCCAAAACCTCCTAAAGTTCAGAGTATTTTGATGTATTATGCCAAAAATTTATAGATGTCGTATACTTTCAATTTCAAGTCGTTTTCAATAATTTTCTTATCCCTATCTAGTTTCCATATAGTCCTACTAATATTAATTCAGGTTAGGATTTGTGAGATTTATTGAATGTTTGTTGGGTAGTAGGGTAGGGGTTGCCCTTGCCCTTGCCAACATTTGACATTTGAGACGAATCCTTCCCACGGTTTTGGGGCCTTCAAATTTGCAAGATATTTCGGTTCAAGTTACTGTCTTGGATTGGTCTTAAACTTGCCTGTCAAATAAAAATTATTTTAAAAATTTTAATTGATTTGGTATCACAGATCAAGTTTTATGCATTATATTAAATTTATTTTCTAATTTAATCACCAGAGATGAATAATAAATAAATAAATAAGTTAACCACTAGAGATTGGTTTGAGTAAAACGGAATAAAGCGCGTTAAATAAGATGTTGAGTATTTGATTATTGTAAATGAAGAAAATTTCTGTTGAAAACACTTTCTCCTTATAAATCTGACGTAGCACGAGTGATATAAATCAAAAAAATAAAAATTTAGTAGTTAATGAGTGGATTTGCTTCTCAATCTTATTGCTAAAAACTTTTTCATTAATGTATGTTTTATTTCCTTGCAAATCTTTTATTTTTATTTTAGAAATTCAAAGTATTTAAACATAAAAATTTTAAAAAATAAAGTTTTTATAATTAGAATTCTATTTTCAATTTTTTTTTTTGAAAAAAGAATTTTGCAGCAGATCACTTAATTAATGCATTTAGGTCATTTTAATACTTCATTAGGTTTCTTTTCCACGATAACTCACTCATATTCTTTTGTAAAAAAAAAAAAAAAAAAAAAAAAAAAGAGTCATTAAAACATATAACAATTTTTAAACACAAACGTCAAAGTTTTGACTATACGATCCTAGAATTCTATTCTTCAATTTTTTTTTTTGAAAAACGAATTTCTGCAGCCAGATCACTTAATTAATCATTCATAGGTCATTTTAATACTTCAATAGGTCTCTCTCTCTCTCCACCGATACACTCAAACCTCCATATTCTTTTTGTAAAAAAAAAAACAGAAAAAAAAAAACAAAAATCAATATATGTGACTTAACATGTATAATAATTTGCCCTTCTATCTGCAACATTAACAAATAAATTCCAACACTTCAAAATTTTTCCCTCTCCCAATTGTTTTGATAAGTCATCTTCTTTGACCATAATTTGAAGAAACATTATTCATGGTCTGGCACCCAATATCAAAAACTGGGCCTGGTTTTGTATTCAAAGGGCTCGATTAAAAAATTGAGATCCAATTCATATTTTAAATTTAGCATTCCCAAAATGACTGTATCAAGCTTTTGATTAACTGGTACTCGACCTTTTTACTCTCCTCAGAGATACTATCAAACCTTTTAGCCGTTACAGCATCCTAAGCTACATACTTCTTTTCTTTATTCTTATTTGACTTTAACTTTCAATAGTCAGTCAAAAAGCTTGCTTAGGCCTAAGCGTGGCAGGAGATGGGCTGTACTTTTACCTCTTTCAATATTTTGAACAAACGTTTTTTC